TAATTTTGTGAACGGTAGACTTATTGATGGTTCGCGCGATCGTAGACTTATTTATAGTAGTGGTAGATTTATAATATGTGATAGACTTATTTATAGTAGTGGTAGAGTTAATTTTGTGATCGGTAGACTTATCGATGGTTCGCTATCATAGACTTATTTATATTAGTGGTAGATTTATAATATGTGATAGACTTATTAGTAGTAGTGGTATAGTTAATTTGTGATCAGTAGACTTATTGATGGTTCGTGCAATCATAGACTTATTTATAGTAGATTTATTTATAGTAGTGGTAGATTTATATCTCTTTACTAAAACAACATTCAGTTGGTAGACTTATTTATAGTAGTGGTAGATTTACAATATGTGGTAGATTTATTTGTAGTAGTGGTAGATTTATAATATGTGGTAGATTTATTTATAGTAATGGTAGAATTATTCAAAAAAGGTAAAATCGTAATTTACATGTCGTCTTCTCCACAAAACCAAGTTTCAAACCCTAACAATGGTGGCCAGCTACATTTTAGCTCGTTTTTACTGTATTTTAACTTGTTTTCAACTGGATATAGCCTAAAACTAGTAGATCTAACATCATATATCATTTTCCAACCAAAAATCAAAAGATTTCAAGTTTTTTTTGTTTGTAATTTGTGATTTTAAATCCGATTTTATCTAAATCCGGCTGCACACATCCGTCCGAGCGTATCTCCGGTGAAACCACAACCTCCGCGACTGCGATTTCAAATAAATTTTTAAATTTTTTTTTAATTAGAATGACATTTTTGTAATAAAAACTTTTTTCTAAGACTTATATGTCTTTTATGACATTTGTTAAGTTTCAATATTGTTTAAGAGTTTTTATAGTAGTTATGCCATTTATTAAGGTTGTTCTAGTAATTTTTCCAAAAAAAAAAAATTGTAGGGATCTCTTGGTCAAAGAAGACCATCTTGTCCTGGGTGGTGAGAGATAGCAGAGGCATGGTGGTTTTGTACAGTAGAATAAGCTTTGCTTAAAGTGGTGATTTGGGCAATGGAGAGTATGGTGGATCGCTGATTAAACCAAGTTGCTTTAACTCAGAAAAAGAGGAGAATATTCATGGGTTTTGGTATAGTACAGGTGTCTTGGTATTGGGCCTATTGGCTATATATATTCTCCTCTTGGGTAAAAGAAAAGCACCATATTTGATTATTTTTAACAAAGTTGTTCCGCATAAATTTGTCAAAAAGAAAAGTTGTACCACATAAGAACATAAGTAGGCAAGAACTTTGTGTTTTGCTTCACCTGGGATGGGATGTTCTCAATCCTCTACTGGAAGGGAGACTTTGGAGTTGCAGTCTTTAAATCTCAAATTTTCAATATATATTCCCTCTTTCTTCAAGTGCATATACCAAACTAAAGCCACACTTCACCACCTCGCAGTTTTTTATCTCTTCCGTACCATCTGTCACTTGAAACTCAATAGAGGTTTCAGTACAAACACATTTCTCTCCGTCGTCGTCGTCTTCACTAATTTTGTTGACATCCAACCTACTCGGGAAGCCAATAAAGACATGAGACGACTCAATCTTTCGTGGTATGTTACGTGGTTCGCTCCAACCTCCAACAGTGCAGCTACAGCGGATTCTAAACCCGTCTTCATTCTTGAACTCACAATTACCTTTCACTAAGACACGTTTCCTCTGGTTGTGGTAGCCATCAAATACGATAACAGCGCATAGAGCAATCCCAGTAAACTTCTTGTCATACCAGTGCGGAGGCAGCTTGGGCTTTAACACCGATCCAGAAGCTCGATAACTGAACCACGCCGGTACTTCCCATCCAGGAAAGCAAGTTCCAATCAAAGCTTCCAAAACTAAACCCTGCAACAGAGAATATCAAAACTAGATCAGATACCACAGATGCAGCAAGGAAAACTGAAAATTGATAATGAGAAATACACAGACCCCATTGTATCGTGCGAGTTCATCTAGCACTAATTGGCTTCTCCACCGAGTATAGGATATGATATTATCCTTTGCGTCTTGATCCAACATGTTGCAGTTTGAAAAATTGAATGTGGCATGGTTCTGATCAGACGACACCCGAAAGGCCAAAGGATTTGCAACTCTTTCCAGTGAATCACAGCCATCTGCATCAAAGTACTGAAGTCTTGGTGGTAGCGTTGGAATAGATCTCAGCTTCTTGCACTGCTTCACTTCGAGCCATTTCAGATTATAAAGATTCTCAATGTCAGGTTGCAGGCTGACAAAAGTATTCCCACTCAAACATAGACGTCGCAATGAGAATACTCCATTAACACCACATGGCCATTCTCTCACGCTACAATGTGATCCTAGAGGTTGTGTGAACTTATCTACGGAAGCTGGGCCTTCGGATCCAGTGAAGCATGATATGCTTGGCATCTCTTTTGCTCCTATCCCATCAAGAAGTAAAATCTGGAGATGTTCTAAGCTATTCCTGACATCCAGAAAATTCTTAAGCTTTGAACAACCAGAGAGTATTAGCTTGTCAAGAGCTTTCAGATTGCCCAGACAATTGGGAAGACACTCGAACATTTTGCAGTTTCTCAAATTCAACACGACAAGCCTCCTGAGGTTCTGTATAGACAGAGGCAGTCCTTTGATTGATGTGCCATCCAAATGTAGAAATTCTATACTTTCTGAAATCACATGAAAGTCTTCAAAATTTGAGCAGTCACTGAGGATGAGAGTCTTCAGAGAGATTAGATTCATATTCTCTGGAAAATACAAGAGACTTGTGCATCCTCTGAGGTTCAAGAAAGCAAGACTCTTCATATTTTCCATCTCTTTTGGCAAATCTTCAAGGTTAGTGCAACCTTCAAGATTTAATCTTTTAAGAGATTTAGCTTGCGACAAAGCTGATAGGTCGATCAACTCTGCTGAGTAGCTTAGATCTACCCACTTCAATCGTGGTGTATCCTGTCAGAATACAACCGCCAATCAGAAAATACTAAAGCCATCTAATGAAAAAATTAACTGCAAAAAGATGGCACAAGAAGACACACCTTAACACCTTCCCATACACGTTCAATCTTGCTGTAAGGCAGCCTAAGGTCAACAAGATTCTCCGGTTTGAAGTCTAATGGAAGCTCCTCCAACGGGAATTCCACCCAATGAAGATATCGGATCTCTTCCAAGGGCAACTCAATCCCATCCGGAAAGTATAAGTTGCAGTCAGCTTTACATTGCCGAGGACAACAAGAATCATATATTTTCAGATATCGAAGATTGTGCATATTAATGAAGGTTGAATTGTCCAAGCACATGCTCTCTGTTAACTTTGACGTGTCTAAGAAAATACCTCTTACCTTATTAGCACCCTGCTCGCAAGTCAAAAGAGAACATGTTAGCAAAGAATACATGAAGTCTTGGCAAGAAACATTGTCTAGATCAAGTTTTTCTATAACATTGTCTAGATCAAGTTTTTCTATTCTAAGTTATTCCATTTATCATTGTTGTTCCTGTTTTCATAATAGTAGAAAAAGACTTCATAAATCATCTAAACATTTGCAGATGTTGATTAATTTCACAGTTCCGGTTAAACACGGGATAACAATTTTCTCCTTATTTCCTATAAAATATTATCTAGAAATTTGTTTTGGAAAAGCCAGGGAATGTTAGAAACATGATTGGATATTCTCTTTCACAGGGAAAAAATAAACTTAACTGATTTTTGCATTTTCTTTAGCTTGTGGATGATATCTTCGTAGTTGCATAGCCTAAGCCACTGACGAGAACCAAGGTTCTTAGAGAACGTACACAGTGGAACGTTCATTTCTACTCGGCCGTCAGTAATTGTAATCAAGAATTTGTTGGCGAGATCTTTTACTTCACTCACAGCATCTATAGAGTCAGGATCTCCTGAATCCAGTAAACTCCTAACAAAGTACTCATCCTCTGATTTAAAGAAGCACTCTATGTCGACAAATACATCTTTCTGCTTCTCATTAAGTTCAGTAGAGAATCTCCAGACTTCTTGGAGTGTCTTGTTGGACGTTTTTGTCACCATTTCCAATTTACATTTCCAGTAAGCCTCGTCTCTCCCATAAAGTTCCGTACCTAGTAATTTGAGAGCCAGTGGGTGTCCTTGAGCATAATCCACAAACTTTCTAGAGAGCGTCAGGAAGGTACTGGTGGGACTACAGATTTGACCACTGAATGCATGAGAACTAAAGAGTTGAAAAGCCTCTCTACCATTCAATTTCGGGACCACATAAGTATCACGAGCAAATCCATCAAGCAATGACCTGTCACACGTTGTAATTATAATCTTGCTTCCCTTCTTAATCCAGTCAAGGTCACCGAGGAGAAACTGTAACTGTTTCTTGTCACTCACATCAGTCAGAACAGCAAAAAACTTGGTCTTAAGTAGGTCAACTTTCACAGACTGATGTGTTATCTTGTCACTTATCACTGGAAACTTCACCTCGAGTAAAAGTTCCAGGAGTGTCTTTTGTAGCCACACCAGCCCATTTTCCTTTGAGTTCTCATGGATACCCAGAAGAGGAACACAACGTGTAAACTTGCGGTTCCACTTTTCATGCAGCATCATTGCGAGAGTTGTTTTACCAATACCAGGTATCCCAACAACTCCAATAATTCGTGTATCGTTACAATCAAACTCTAACTTCTTCTCCAATTGTTCCATGCGTTGCTCCATTCCAAAGAGGTGAGACTTGTTAAGATAAGTTTCATGCTTTTCTCCTTTTCTTGTAGGCAATTCAGTACTTTTGCCTTTCTCAGTAGAAGGAAAGAGAGATGGGTTTTCTCCTTCCCGCTGCGAAAAAATCTCTAGGACTTTCTTGACTTCGTTGACGATGAAAGAGATGCCCTTGCTCTCAGAACTGGCAAATAATTGAGAAAATCTGAATAAGACACATCGATCATGTACGCCTGAAGAATCTAGTAACTTCAGCAACAATCAATTCAAGCCAACAATAAATTATAAATTTCAGTTACCCGTCCTCCAAGTAGATGCCCATATTGGACGCAACAGACTTCAAAGCTTCCTTCCATTTAATGATATGGTTATCCCGATTAATACGCCACAAAGTCCAAAAATTGTCACCGAATTCTCCCTTAAGATTAGTAACATGCGATTGCTCCACCTTGTAGAAGATTGGAATGACTAGGAGTTTGCCTTCGTCCCTAAGCTCTTTGATCTTCAACAGCTCGTCTAAGCACCATCGCGACTCTGTGTACCTGCTAGAGAAGACTACAAGTGCGATGTTGGACTCCTCGATCCTATTGAAAAGGCTACTAAGATCGCTACCCTTCAACTCATTAGCCTCTACATAGACGTTGACTCCGTTCCTTTTTAAAGCCCCCGTGAGGTGGCTGACAAAGCCATGGCGCAGCTCGGCTCCCCTAAAATTTATGAATACTTGATGCTGTGGTGGGTAGGTCGCCATGGTAGAGCTTTCGCTTACATTTCCTTGCTTTTCTTCACTGAAAGGATCAACTTTATTGATCTCAGCGCTGTCCTGTAACTTAGATGTTGCGTCAGAGTTTGCTTCACCAAGGAATTCGTCATCCTTTATCAAATTCAAACCATCATCCTTTCTCAAAATTCCTTGGAATTTGACTTCAGTTTGGACACTATCAGCTTCCTTTGGATATACATCAGACTTTACATCCCATAAAAGATGGTAAATTACTATCTTGACAAACTTGACGATGTCAACAATAAACGCGCTCTCATCCCTGCCAAAGTAGTGTAAGAAAAACAATGAGATTTAAAAGGCCTAAACAATGGTAGCCGCACACTCAATATAAGATTCAGTTACTTCTAATAGTGTATGCTACACTTTCCCTCTTTTTCCTCTTGTCACTGGATAAAGAAGACACTCAAAACGTTGGGTTTGGTTTTTCACTTACTTCCTAAGACATTAAACCATCAATAAATGCTCACTTTTTTCTTGTTTAATTGATAACACACTATATCTCTTCGAATTCAGTAGAACTAAACCAAGTCCACAAAGATTAAGAACTAACATCTACTTTACTCTTTCGTTTTACACCACAAATATTATGTAGAAAGTATACAGGGTAGGATCCATACCTGTCCTGAGTAAACGTCAACCCATTCCTGTCCGAAACGAAATGCAAAGCCTCCTTCCATTTACTGAGCTTGTCAAACTCAGAAGTACGCTTCACGTGATTCCACAAGTTAATACCGAAATCTCCATCAAGCTCTCTCACGTCGGATGGATTCAGCTTGTAGTAAATGGGAATGACGATGAGTTTACCTTCCTCAGCTCGTTCTTTGATCTTAACCAGCTCCTCTAAGCACCAGAACGATTCAGTGTACCTTTTAGAGAAGATTACAAGCGCGATCATCGACTCTTCGATCCCCATGAAAAGAGATTTCATAGATTCTCCACGCATCAACTCTTGGTCTACATAAAGGTTGACTCCGTCCCTTTGCAAGGCCATCTCGAGGTGAGAGACAAAGCTCTGGCGCATCTCGGCTCCTCGAAAGCTGAGAAACACTCGTGGATGCTGCAACGGGGTTTTTTCTGCGGTCTCCATGGAAGAATTTCTCAAGGGATTTGTTTCCAGAGACGAATTCCAAAATTTGGGGGAATAGGGTTTCCTTTGGGAATGAGATATTGAAGAGGAACATCTTCGTCAACGTTTGGTGGTGACACCAATTTTTATTTCCACAATTTTTATTTCCACAACCTACTAACACTAGGCAATTTGTATACTAGTTACGTTTCAATATTTA